GCGGGCCCACAGTGGCTCCAAAGGCCAAGCTGGACTCCCCTTGAGCAATCATTGGTCCCTATGGTCTAGCCACGCCTCCTAGTGACACTCCCCTCTCTAAGGAGGTAGAGCAGGTAGCATGTCTCTGGGAGTCCAGCAGAAGCAGAATGGGGTGGGTGAAACTCAGGCAAGGAAGAAGGCCAATCAGTCCAGAGGTCATCATGTCTCTGGGTGTTCCTTACTCTTGTGCCAGCAGCTATGGTGAGACAAGTCCCGTGTCCTTGACTTCAAGTGCAGACAGTAGCATTCCAGGGAACCTCAGTCCATCTTGGGAAGTAGGAAGTCATTTTGGGGGACAGCAGGCCTGAGTTAGGTTATTCATCTGTCGGCCTTGCTTCAGCATAGAACATGTCATCAAGAACCCTGCTTCCCACAAACATTTTTATTTCTTTCCTCCTGAGCTAGCTCCCAAATGTATTGTCTGTCATGTCTGCACACTGACCCGAAAGCTTCTTCTTATCATCTTTTATATTTGCTGTTTTAGCCCAGGAAACTCGGGTTTTCCCATTTTGGGAACATGAGAAAAAAGAAGTTTGATGAGTCTACGGATTATATTTGCCCCATGGAGCCCAGTGATGCGGCCAATGACAGCCACAGGGTCTACGGTGTCTACGGGGGCCTTAGTCCCCTTGACAACCATGAACTAGATGGACTGGACCAGGTGGGACAGATAAGCTGATGCCCCTGTCCTCTGCCTTCTTTGTGCACCGAGAGCTTGCAATAACACCGTGTGCCACCATATAACTGCACTCCCTCCATCCTTGTGCATGACGTGCAGAAAGCAGCAGTTGTGTGCCTTTGGGCTGGTCTTCGTACACACCGTAAGGATGTCAGGATATGCAGTTACACAGCTACAAAGGGGACAGACTTTGGGGACTATAGGACTATAGCCAAATGTGGACTGAGGATAAATCACCTGAAGATGTCTGTACATGTTTAGTAATTCTTAATATCCATATTTCAGCTGGAAACATATGAACAGAGGCAGGCCCAGAGATCCTGGGCAATCCCAAGAGGTTCAGCTCTCAGGCACTGTACCTATGCTCCAGTTGACGGAAAAATTCAAGTGCCTTAGGCCTGTGGAGCACAGAGTCTTGGCTGAGATAAAGGGACAACAGAGGGTCTTGTAGGCCATGGTGATAATGTAATTTGATTGTACCTTACTATGGGTGGCCATTTCTTTCTGGTAATAAAAACAATATTTATGTAGAAAGTATGAACCTCTTTAATTCTGTTGGGGGAAGAAAACCAGGCATTGCTGGAGGTAGGGTGATCCCAACTACACCACTTAAAGACCTATAGTTTAGGATTGAACCAGGGAATGGAACGTCTGTTAGAGAAGTCTGTGGCCCTGTTGCCTTGGGTCTCATTTCCCTCTGTGAAGCATAGAAGGAACTTGGGTGTCACATACACTGGCTAGAGGTCACATCTGTCACACAGACCCTAGGTTGTTTTCCATTTCAGCAGCGTGAGCCTCAGAGTGAAGGGTGGGGAGATGAACAGGTAGCCTTTCTGGCAAGACTCTGCTTTTTACATCTTGCCCACTTTTGTCTTCCGGAAGAGCAGAAACAGAGCTGTCCTCTTGCTTTAGACACTGCCTAGTTGGTAATGGGCCCAACAGATGGTCTGTGTCTGGCTGGAGACTGACCACGGAGAGATGTGTGCTCTACCAGTCTGAGGCTCTGCTCAGGAAATTCCAGGTTGGGGCTGGCCAGTATTTGACTCCTGGGTCCAGTTACCTTCATCTACAGAAGAATAACAGCAGTGTTGCAAACATCTGGAAGGCAAGGCAGGATCGCTGGTTTGTTATGGCCTTCTGACCCAGATGCAGGCGATGTTAACATTTGGCTCTTCATACACATAGAAGACTCAACCATGGTCTGATACCCAAGGCTACTACCTCCCCTAAATTCCAGCTTGCCAGGTGGCAATACTAGTATTTGGTTCTGGTACCCAGAGCCACTGACTGGCCAATGCTATTGTAGCATTGTATTATGTAGTAATGTATGTCAGGCCAGGTTTTGTGCCCTGTTGGTTATGTCCCAGTGAGGACTGCATGTACCTGTTTTCAGACTTTGCATGGAATTTGTATTGCAGCTGAATGTCTGTGTGACCTCATGCAACTTTAGTGGACTTGAGTTTTCCCTGCTACAAGGGTTTGCTCTTGATGCCTCCAAGTCTGCAGCATCCAGATAAGAAGGACCAAGTAGGCCAGCAGTACCTGAGGAGGAGGAAGGCCTCTATGCCATGAAGAGGCAGGCAGCAGCCTCCTGATGTTGCCCTCTTAGACCACAGCATTGATATCTGGGGTCCTATGCCTGGAAAGCATCCTTTTTCCAGTAGTAATCCGGAGGCTTTCATCCCTGTGAAGCAGCTGGACCACTGGACATGTGTAGAAGGCTGCTTCTGACGAGCTCTGCCTGTGCCCTGCTTTGCCACACATAGTGCTGGTGCTGAATGTGGCTTCAGCAGAGTGTGTGCATGCAGTACGGGAACTGAACCTGCATGTGTCTCAGCAGCTGTCACTCCCTGGGGCCTAGAGCACACCATGTCCACGCTCTAGGGAAGACTGTCCTAGAGAGGACAGGCCTGAGTAGAAGGGGCTGTGCATGCCGCTGTCTCTGCAAAGCGTAGGCCTCGTTCCTGTGTGCTGACCAGGCTGCTGCCCATTTTACAGATGGCACCTTCTGAAGTCACCGTGACACAAATAGGGCTCCTCTCCCAAGACATCCATCGCCTCACGGTATGATTCTGACCCCCCTTCCTTGCAGCATGGCTAGTGAAGCCCAGTAAACTTGGTGTGGTGGCATTCATGTCCACAGGGCAGGAAAGGATGGTGCTTGCTTGCTAGTGGGTCAGAGCCTTAGCCAGCCCTGAGGCACACAGCAACTTAAAGGCTGGGCCTCCTCTACTGGCCTGTTGCTGGGCTCTGAGCCACCACAGGGCATTGGAGGCCCACGGCCTTTCATCAGAGTCAGCCTGAACATACAAGGCGTTGGATCCGTTTCCTGGGCTCAGAACTGGTAATGATATAATGGTGACCAAGAAGTTATGGGTTAACTGTGCAGCCAGATCAAAGATCTGGCTCACTTCTAGCCCAGTGAACACTGTCCTGCCTTCTTGGCACAGAGAAACATACATTCCCCCCACTCCTGACATCGTGAATACGTTCTGCAAGCTAGGAGAGCCTGCCACGCCCAGGAGTACTAATCAGTCCATGGGGAGGCAGCTTGGTCCCAAGGAAAGAAGAACTGTTTTGTTTTGTTTGTGGAGGGTGGGGGAGGGGGTCAAGGGTAGGAGTAGTTCAAGTCATTTGCCTTTTACTGGCTCTAGGAGCATAGGTGTGCCATGGTCCCTCTGATACTGACTTTGGTTATCTGTAAAGCAGGGATAATGATAGCCTTCTTGTAAGTCACATGGGAAGACCAGAGGTAGCAAGACATGGCTACCTACCCACGGTTAGAAAACTGTATAAAGGCAGGATGGAGGAGTGTCTCCTATCTAAGCAAGACCACGTCAGGGCAACAGGCTTTGTCTCTCGGCTCATGCAGGGGCATGTCTCTGTACAATCTTGGCCTGTGATCTCTAACAAACCTTTGGTTTACCTCTAAGACAAAAGGCTTGGTTTTATCTTGTGTGTATGTGTATACCGATGGTGGGGATTGAACCTACGACATTGTGCAAGCAAAGCGAGAGCCTCGCCCTTACACCATTTTTATCTTAACATTACTGTCTGTTCAGCACTCAATGCTCAGGCTCCCTGGGACACCATAACTTTGCAGATCAGAGGTATTGGGTGTGGGCCACTTCCAGTGTCCCTCTGTTTCTTAGGAAGATGCTGTAGGGTAGCCTTGGCCTATGGACTGTTACACTGCCCTTTTGGCTATGTTCTTACAGACTCTGCTGAGCCAGGACCAACTACTGAATGACTCGCCTGGCTGTCCCTGACACTGACGACTGTGGATGACATTCTTCATGGCTGAGAGCCCAGAGAGGCATGTGTGGGACTTGAATGTTTACCTCAATGGGGAGTTGGCACAGAGCCATCTACAGAACCCAGATGGGGCTCTTTGGGGTCCCTCGGAAGTAGGTGCTGGCAGGAGCAAAAGCAGAGGGATGAGATGACCAGAGGTGTCCCTGTGTTCTTCAATGCTGTCTATGATCACTTTTCGCTACAGATTTTCTACCTTTTATACTTTTATATACAAATTGCAGACATTCTTGTAGACAGGGAAGTGTTGTGTTAAATGCAGAACAAAGGCAGTGAGCTCTTAGTTCATAAAAGCCTCTGCTTGGAAAAAAGCTGTGTAAACTGTTGTGATTGTTCTGCAGTGGCTGGTGAAGTTCTGGGGGGCCGGGGATCCTCTGGGGCTGCTTCATAGAAGTATGTATTTTCACTTCTGGGAGGCTGGCCCTGAGAACCAGCACTCCTTTCTCGATCTTCAAGCAACTTCACCCCCCTGCATCTGCTGAAGTAGCAGACAGTAGTGTGGTATTACTGCTTTGACCAGCAGGTGGCGATAGCGGTCCCTGGATCATGGGATTTGAGGCACAGCTGCTAGAAATGGTAAATTTAGGAACTTCTGTCTAACCATGCCTCCCTTGGCCCAGTGCCAAGGTGGAGCCTGTCACCTAGAGGTTGCTAAACTACAAATATTTTCCCATGTCTCCGTCTGCTGTACAAAATGCAGGTAGTGAGGACAGGATTCGTGCAGTCCATGTACTGTAATTGCCCTTCTGTACAGGCTCCTAATCCTGTTTGTGTCTCAAAGTGACCCACATGGGAAGGAAGAACACACAAAGCCTTTGCCCTCTGTGAGTCTGGCCTTCAAAGCAGAGAAATGTGAAAAATGTTCGTAAGTGGGAGTTAGTTGATCGAATCCGTTTGAATCTTGCTGTAATTCCACCCAGGCAAGTTCTGGCTGCCCAGTGTGTTCCCTAGATAACCACACATTGTGAGCTAAGTGCAGGGCAGTCCAGTTTATTACACGAAACTGGGAGAAAGGCATCATGCCCAGCCTCCAAGCCTGGAAGCCCCCCAGAACACCCAATCCTCTGAACTCTTCTTAGGTCTACACCCAAGAGACCAGCACCGTGCCCAAGGGTACATGGAGAGCCACTTTGCAAATACTGTAGGTGAACAGTGAACAGGGTGAAGTCAAACTCACTCTGAAACAGGAGAGGGACCCGCCAAGGATTATCGGAGGTGTTAATAGGTAAAAATCATGTCCTTGGTATAGCCGAGCTGTTCCAGGCTAGGGTAAGCCATATCCTGGATCATACGTGGTGGACCACACACCAGGATCAGTGTGGTCTCCCCAGGGGGAGGGAGGTGCTCTTTGATCATGTCAGCAGTGACAAACCCCGAGCTGTACTTCCAGCCTGGAATGAAACAGAGCAAGGAAGAAGTGTGATTCTGCGTTAGCCCCTGATGCTGGAGGCCAGGCTGCCCTACAAAAGCTCAGAAGTCTGCCTTGCTGGTTCCCATGTAAACCCAAGGGACAGAAAGGGGGGTTTCAGTCGTCTGCAGCATTTACTCCAATTCCAGGCTCAAGCCTTGGTCTCAGACTCCGGATGATGTCTCTTTGCTCTAAGCACTGAGAAGAGTGAGGAGGTCACACTGGTGTGGTGGAGTGTTTGTGGAGTTGGGTAGCACCCTCTGCTGGACAGCGTGATATATGCCAAGACTGGTGGAAATCAGGGAGACATGCAATGTGCCCTGCACGATGTAAGGTACATAGTGGTTCCTAGGCGCTAGCAGGAGCTGGCTGAGGCTCAGCTTATGAACACTGCTGTCCACAAGAGGTTGGTTATAAGAGGCAGAGTAGCCATGAGCAGTATGAGAGGGTAAGGGGCCAGTGCATTTTAGGTACAATGTGCTGAGTGTGGAGGGCAGGTGTGGCTCAGTCTATACTCAGCGCAGTGTGGAGAGTACAGGTGTGCAGCACCTGTCCTTGACTCCCCTTTACAAACTGCTGCTCCCATCTCCTCCCGTCAATGGCTTCGTTTGTGTGCCCTCTACAGACCAAGAGCCCCAAGGCAAAACAAGCAAACAGAACCTGGAGCTAGTCCACAGGTATGTCAAAGGGTGGAGCTCGCTCAGAATAAGAGAGTAATAAGGGCCATACCATCGGGAGGCCTGTCCAGGGTATACCACAGGTTGAACTGGTCAGGGTGAGTCGTGGCAGTTTCTTCCAGCTCCTTTCTCAGCAAGATATCCTCTTCTGTCTAGAAAAGAAGCAACATCACCAACATCACAAAGGTCCCTTGGGAATAGCCCGTATGCCTACCTCGATTGAACGTGTGGGTCATGCCTGAATTGCCACTGTCCTAGCTTGAGAGCTTTCCAGATTCCCTGTTCCTCCTGCATACTGTACCCTCTCTATTAATATAAGGAGCTGGTGAGAATCAAGCGGGAGGCAGAGGCAGGCAGATCTCTGTGAGCTCGAGGCCAGTCTGGTCTGGTCTATAAGAGCTAGTTCCAGGACAGGCTTCAAAGTAAGAGTAACCCTTTCTCGGGAAAAAAAAAAGAAAGAAAGAAAAAAAGAAAAGAAAAATCAGCAAAAATAGTTGGTGGAACTGATGGGTGGGGTGGGAGACCAACAACATGGTGTCCTCTGTCTTGAAGGACAGCTGCACAGACCACTGTCTGCATGCAGAAGTCCCCACTCACTTCCCTGCATCCAGGGTCAGGCCTGGCAGGCCCAATGGACACAAGCTTAGTGCAGATTGGCCTTCTCTAAGGAGTCAGGGGAGGGCAGTGCTGATGGTGTCCAGAAGAGGAAGGTGGTCTACATTTGCATCTGAGGAAATGGGGACAAGAAGGGAGACAAGGCTCCAAGAGGATACCCAGGCCTGGGTCGTCCAACGCTCCATAGCTCTTGTCCCAGTAACGCTACTTCTGGCGTTGTTTCAGAAAAGCAAAGTTGTCAGGTCAGGCCCAGTTGCTCATAATTATTTATTGTTTATGTCAAAATCTAGAAAAACCTGAATGAAAATGTTTCTTTGATTCTGGTGTGAATATTTAAAGTCAGCAAGAGGAAGATGCCTATGTGATACTACTAAGTGAAAAAATATATATAGTATATAAAAATGTGTATAAATAAGGTTATATCATACACAGTACATATGGGGGTAATGGCAAATATAAATGTATATTCTTCTGAATTTCTCATAATTTCCATCAGGAACATCCATTATTTAATACTCAGAGAATCAGAACTGGGAATTAAGGAGAAAGCTCACAGCATGGAGTGGCTCTGTAGGGAAAGTGAAGAGTTAAGAAACAAACAGAACCGGCCTAACCTCAGCTTCTTCAGCTGCCAGCAGACTTGCACAGCCCACTAAGCCTCCCACAACCCAGGGCGCCCCAGCAGCACGTTCTCATACAGTTGGAGACAGACACATCCCATGCTGCTGTGGCCAGCTCGGGGTTGGCTGCAGACTGACCTGGTTGGCAAAGAGGAGGGACATCTTGGTCCCATCACTGCTGTTCTTGGTGATGTGGCGAAGGAGCTGCAGCATGGGTGTGATGCCTGGAAAACAGCGGGCAGGCCAGCTTGCTCCCATCCCCAGTGCCCCAGTTTCTGGCCTTTAGTGGATTAACAATTTCATTTGAGCCTGATTCTACCATTTTCTGTTCTGTTCCCCAAAACCTAAAGTGGAAGAGAACCTTCATTTTGGCGTTCCTTTCTAATGCAGCAGCAGGTCAGAGAACCACTTTCCTTTCTGAGACAGGATTTCACATATTCCAGACTGGCCTCAACTCCCCAGGTAGCCAAGTCTGTCCTTGAACTTCTGATCATCTCAAGCTCTGAGATTACAGGCATGCCTGTTTTTATGTTGCCGGGGAACCCAGGGCCTCATGTGTCCGGAGCAAATATTCTACCAAGCGAGCCATATCCTCAGCCCTTCTTTCCTATGGCAAGAGGGTAAGAACTTTCTGTGAGCTAGTTCAGGTCCTCACTTGCATAATAAAACTAATGGCCAGTAAATGTGATAGTATTAAAACTGCCAGCGATGTTGCCTAATACTCTATATGTCTCCCTGAGGGTTCATTCTCAAGGGATTTCGAGAGTCAGGCTAGAACTGAATATTCCACTATTTAGGAACCATTGAGCAAAACTTGCCCAGCCTAGCCTCAGAAGAGAGGCTCCCATGGCTTTGAGGGAGCCACTATGCTGGTTGTAGAGGAACAGGGTCAGATTCAGTATCGGACCCCACATTCCCACTACCACACCAGATCTCATAGCATCAAATGATTCCCAAGTTAGAATGGTCCTGGAGGAATCCAGAAACCTCTTACCTGTGCCCCCAGCAATCATCCCCAGGTGATGAACCTGTTTTCCTTCAGGCTCACTCTTTTTGTCTGTTTTGACTGTAAGGTAACCTAGAAATAAAGAGAATGTTTCTGACTTCTGCAGGCCTTGGCTGGTGGCCTACAAAAGATTTCTGACTCTTAGGAGGCAAGGTTGTAGCATTCCAAGTCCGAATTAGACACGGTAGCTTCACTGGCCGCCAGTGTATAGAGTAGAAACCGAGGCTAGGCATCCCATGGGATAGCGGGGCCTTTTCTTAGGCAAGCTGAAATTAATCTGGAGCCTTGAAGAGTGAGTGAGTAAATGGAGAATCAATGTGGTCTCCCTCTACCCTCAGCAGGCAGCTTTCATGTATCTGTGCCAGAGACAGTAATGAGGACATTCTAGATGAAGCGTACAAGCCTGTGCAGTAAATATGAGCAGTGACAGAAGTCATTATAAATACAGTCATGTGGATGAATGTGTGAAGACTTGAAGTATGCGCCCATGTGCCCCAGAGCTGAGGAAGACCACAGCAAGGCCACTGCAGGAATCTCCCAGCTATGAGAAGAATTGACCGTGAGACCCCGCTGAACAGCACCTGTACCTGGCTTGTGGTAGAACAGGCGCCCTGTTGGCCCTCGGATAAGGATGGTGTCCCCAATTTTCATGTTCTCTAAGTACTGAGTCATCTTTCCCCCTTCAGGATGCTTGGGGTGTACATTTTTGAAGTAGATCTGAAAAGCAAGCACAGATCTTTACACCTCCAAGCCTTGGGCGACAGTCGCACACGGCTGGAAGCCAATAAAAGTCATTCGAGTCAACACTTCCGCACTCACTGTGAACAATCGTTTCGGTTTCATGTCTGTTTCCACAATAAAATACCCCAACAAGACAACTCAGGGGGAAAGTGGTTTATTTTAGCTTCCAATTCCAGGTTAAAGTGAAGCAGCTCACCACATCACACCCAGTAGAGAGAAATGAATGTTTGCATACCTAGTTGTGCTCAGCTCATTCTCTATATTTACACAGTTCAGGGTCCTCTGCCTAGGGAGTGGTGTTACCCACAGCGGGCTGGGTCTTTCTGCGTCAATATAATGAAGATAATCCACCACAGACCAACCTGATATAGACAGTCCCTCACTGAGGCTCTTCCTGGGTGATTTCTAGATTGTGTCAAGCCTTACAGCAATCCTTTGAGACCCTACAGGGTTAAGGGTAACATTGCTGATAAATGAGACTATTGGAAAGCACTGTCTAGGCCATAAGTCCTCTCTCCACTCTACCACATTAAAGATACCTGGGGGGGCTCCAGATAGCTTGGTAAGGTGGGTATTATTTACCTTTATAATGAAGTCCACAAAGCCTTTATCATCATCACTAGAGACAGGAGTGTAAGCCCTAATTACCAATTCATTGTTAATTTGGGCCAAGAGATGGACATAGTTACCTACAAAAAAATATCAAATGTTAATAGTCAAATAGAACTCTGAAATGGCTCAAAGATTCACTTTGATAACATCTGCCCAGCTATGCTCACACTGTAACCTTTGGAGTAAGCATTAAAGGTGGGAATGGATACTAAAACTATCAGAAAGGAGCCAGCTGTGGTATCTCATACCTGTAATCTTGGGCATCAGAGACAAAATCGACTTGAGTTCAAAAATAATCTGGGCTATTAGTTGTAACCCAATCTATATTAAGTGCAAGACCTTGTCTCACTAGCGATATCAGAAAGGATTTTTTTTCCATTGAAAGAAAACTATAGTCTTCATGAAATTCTTTCTTCCTAACCCGTCTGTGTCTCAGCAGAGAACAGCGCTTAGCCTTATGGGTACTGCAGGGTTCCAAGACCTCCACAGTTCTGTTTCAAATAAAGCAACAATGCGTGCCGTCCTGGCTACTAGTTCTGCTGAGAAGCAACAGGGACATTTACACTGTGTCTTTACCTGTCCGGAGTAGAATTCTATAGGCCTGGAGGGCCAGAGACCTATGAGTTGAGACTGTAGCCCAATAGCAGATAATGAGCCCGACTGAAGTCCAGACTTGAGAGACCAAGGCTATTAGTACCAAGGGGAGGAGCTGCATCAAGGGATGCTAAAAGCTAGAGACAAAAGTCACCAGGTCACGTTCAGGTGGAGCAGAAGTCAAGTGTGCCTGGGAAATTAGAAATCCAGATAGAAGTGGGAGCTAGAAGCTGAGAGAGACAGATGAAGAGGAGGAAGAAAAGGAGGAGGGAGGGAGAGTCGGTGCTAGAGGAGAGGGTAGTAGTTCAAGATGTTAAGCAGTATATGTCTGGGTCTTGGAGGAATCCCTAGAAGCCGAGGTGCAACCTTCATAGCCATCGTCTGATTGGACACCAGGGACACCTGAAACCGCAGTCCTAAAGCAGCAGCTTCCACCCAAGGGCTCACCTGAAACTGAGAACTTAGGAAGCCAGTCACTGCATCCCCACACAGGATGGAGCTGTGTGCCCAGCCCAGAGCCCCACCTCCAACTATCCTCGCTTCAGCTGCACATCGGAGCGTTAGCGCTCTGCTGTCAGACTCCTAGAGGCCACTAAGCATGTGTGTCCCACTGGCCACGCAGCTGCCACTGGGGCTGAGGGCAGAGTGGGTCAGAGAAGTCTCTACCGACAAATTCTATTTCTCAAGTGGCTTATGCTTGCCTCCCAGGCAGGATGGCAACAGGCTAAAGTAGAGAAATGGAAGGCCCCATGACATAGCACTCTCATGTACAGAGTGGTAAAGGGCGGCAAGCAGGCTTCGTCCTTGCATTATAATTTCCTCACTTGTCAGGGTTGAAGTTAGGACTTTCTTTGAAAGTCGGCCATCAATCAGACTTCCACTAGGAGGCAAGCAGCAAGGCTTCTCTGTCCCACACCTTTCGCTTGGATTTTCCACCTCAGGAGAGTGGACTCATTGGCTAGAGTTGATATTGATGAAACCCAGAATCTGAGGAGGACAGCTAGAGCTGGTTTCTTTATGTGGGGCTCGGGCTCCCTCGGAAAATCACCCATTTAGGGCATCTGCATGCCTAGTGACTCCCCACACATTTTGGGCGTTGATGGAATGTCTGCTCTTCTCATCCGTGTGAACTTTCACATCCACCAGCCATGTCACTCGCACTATACCTGAAGCAGACTGACGGGCCTGGGAAATACTGTTTTACAAGATGGAACGACAGAGAGGAGGATTGAGGTACTGGCCTTAAACTGCATGGGCAGGAGCCTTTGATGACATCTTAGACCTTCTTCTAGACTTACTTCTTTTCAGTGCTCCTCAAGATATTACTTTTATAACAGTCGGACTGGAACAATGGAGATACTGTCCTCAGGTCCATCTGCTTGTCTCCCTCCATCCACATGGTCCAGGGTTTTATCTGTGTGTCCTCCATATCCCACGAGAAGGGGAACCTATTGCTAATAGGAATGGAACATCCCAAAGACCCAGACCTGGAAATGTCACCAAGCACTGCTCACCTACAGGGAGCCCCAAGACATGGTCCGGTGAGGGCAATCCAAAGCGGAACCTTCGAGTGTTGTGGTTGATTTGCTAGTGGAACAAAAACAGCAGGTTAGGTTGGCTTCTTAGGAGTTTTGCTGCGTGACGCAGATCCTGAGAAAGACACTCAATTTGGCCCTGAGGTGACTGAGCACCCCAACTTCCCAGCTAGCATTCTCACCCCCTCCCCCATCCTCTGTCATGTAACCAGGGGAAGGTATGGGTGACCCAGTACCTCCTTTTCAATCAAGGGCAGGGGGTACTTGGCTTCAGGGTCCTGTAAGGTGATGCGATCTTTCTTCTCTAAGCTCATTTTCTTCAGGGCAATGAGAATCACAGTGGTCCCGACGACTCTAAGAACCAAGAGCAGGGAGGTAGTCCTAGAAGACACAGTGTGAGCACAGACCTCAGATCTCACCTGGGCTAGGCAGTGCCAAGCACGGCTGCTCTTATGTCTCAAAGGACTAGCAGAGGGAAAGGTGTTATAACACAGAAGACTGCCAGGAACAGAGGACCAGAGGGCAGAGAGGTTTGTTCCAGGTTCAGCAGGCCCTCTGGACAAGGCCTGACACCTGCACAAGAGTGTTGCTCTCTTCAGGCCCTCCCTGCCCACCTGGGGAAGAGTGACAGCGTGAGTTATAACGGGCTGCCCGAGAGAGAGCTGTGCTGGCCTTGCCAGGTGCTTGTGGGTTGTGCCTAACAGCAAGGCTGGAGACAGGACTTACCTCTCCTGGGACTTCCCACTCACTTCTGATCGGCTGATGTAGTGGAGCAATGAGTGGATTTGAAACTCACCAGCACTTTGCAGGGCGGGCAAAGGAAGCAAATACACACCCGCCAGAGGTGTAGCCAACCTCCCCACAACAGCCCTCAACTCCGCCCCGTTCCCTAACCAGGCCAGTTTGTTCACAGCCCGACCTGTTCCAGAGGCGTCCCGCTGCTGCCCAGTCCTCTGGTCCAGAGAACCCAGGGGCCCTACCAGCTGGTAAACCGCCTCGAGTCAGGCCCAGACATGGCCTGCCCCTGTCCCCAGCCTTGGATTCCTTCCTGCCCCGCCCCTCTCAGACGGAACCCACCGGGAGCGAGAGATGCCCAACTTGTCCTCAAGCTGGGCATTGCCTCTTGGTGGTTCGGAGGGCGAACACAGGGCAGCGGCCAGGGTCCCGCTGACTCCTGCCTGAATAGCGACACATTCAGGCTTCTGTGTCCCGTGACTCTGGCATCAGTCCAGCGCTGAGCCTCCGCAGTTGGCCCTGTGGGAATGGGGCCCATAATCTCCTCCAGAGTTCCTGTTCTCAACTGGGATCCCTCTGCTTCTTAAGTCTCCTTGCGCATCCCTGTAGCCTTGGGGAAAATTCAGCCTCCCCAGCTTGTTAACACCAAGGCAGGATGGAGAGAGGCGTGGCTGTGAACTCATTTACAGTACAGACTGAAGACATGGGCATTACAGTCTAGAGGAGAGCACTTGAGTGACTGCATGTCTAAGTCGCCATGTCTCCTGAGCTGCTACCCTGAGCCTCCCAGAATCCAAGTGTCTGCAGGGTGGGGCTGACTGCAGAGTGTGGTGGCTTCACTAGCGGAGACAGGACAAGACTAAGACTCTATAGCAGACAGCATGAGACATCCAGACTATGAGGGTTCTCCGCAATGCACCTCAGAGCCTTGATTTCCTTTTCCGCTCTTGCCACTGCAAGCAACTTGCTGCAGTAGGCATTCACAGTTCTCGAAGAACTCCTTACAGAAGTCCTCACACACACTAAGCAATGGTATCCTGTATCCTCAGCCCTTTCTTTTCTTTGCTGTCCTTTGGTTAGGTGGTTGGTTGGTTTTTAAGTTTTGAGGCAGAGCCTAGGTTGACCTTAACCTAACTCTGGAGCCCAGACAGGTTTTGAACATTTGATTCTGCCCCAACCTCCTGAATAGCTGGGATTTCAGGCAGGTACCATCATCCCTGACTTTATATTTTAAACGCTAAAGCTGTCAAAAAATCACGTTATCTGACAATGACCTGAGGGCCCAGGAAGGTGTCACTTTGTGTGCCTACTGCAGCGAGTTGCTTGCAGTGGAGGACAGTGTGATGTGAGCTGATTTCTCTCACATTCCCGCTCTATCCTCCAACTCCCAACACCAACAAATGCCTCCTCGCTGGAGAAAACTGAGGTGATGAAGATAATCCAGTGTGCCTGAGATCCTCATTACAAGGGGAAACTTGAACACACAGGAATGGGCGTAGAGAGGGTAGATCATTTAAAGAGAAAAGCTAGGGAGAACAGCAAAAGCTCTCTGTTCCCAACAGGCCTCCAAAAGACTGCTCCTGGCCCATTTTTTTCATTTTGGATACTCAGCCCCTTTGCCAAGATAGTCTGTGGTCCTCCATTATTGCGGCCTTCACTGATAGGGATCTGTTTCTCGACCCTCTCGGTCTGAAATGAGAGTTTACGTTTGCCACTGGCAAGAGCAGAAAAGGAAATCAAGGCTCTGAGGTGCATTGTGGAGAACCCTCATAGTCTGGATGTCTCATGCTGTCTGCTATAGAGTCTTAGTCTTGTCCTGTCTCCGCTAGTGAAGCCACCACACTCTGCAGTCAGCCCCACCCTGCAGACACTTGGATTCTGGGAGGCTCAGGGTAGCAGCTCAGGAGACATGGCGACTTAGACATGCAGTCACTCAAGTGCTCTCCTCTCAGCTGTAATTCCCATGTCTTCAGTCTGTACTGTAAATGAGTTCACAGCCACGCCTCCCTCCATCCTGCCTTGGTGTTAACAAGCTGGGGAGGCTGGATTTTCCCCAAGGCTAGATTTTCACAAGATGCAACTCTTGGTTGAATATTTGATTCCACATGAAGTAGCTGAAGCATCTTAAACATCTTTCAGAGTTAATCAAGTTTTTATAGTTCTTAATGCTGAGACTCAGCTTTTCATAAAAACAAAGGACAAAAGACAGATGTACGTTTAGGGCCTGTCAGAAATTGTTTTAAATTCTGTCCCAATCCTAAACAGAAATTCATCTATGTTATGAAACTCAAGTTGGTAGCTTAAACAGCAATTATATTGATTGATTGATTTGTTGGTTTTTCAAGGCTGGGTTTCTCTGTTTAGCCTTGACTGTTGTGGAACTCGCTCTGTAGACCAGGCTGGTCTCACACTCAGAGACCTGCCTGCCTCTGCTTCCTGAGCATTCCTGAGATTAAAGGTATGTGCCATCCCCACCCTCAAACAGCAATTTTAAAAAACAAATCCAGCAACACAATCCAGCCCAAAAGAGGTACTGATTTGACACTTATGTGCTAAAGAATGATGGCAGAAAAATAGCAGTTCTTTGGTTTTTTTTTTTTATAATTGAAACATTGTGTTTCTATAACAGCATGAAATGCTGTTCAGTGAAGGATATTAAAAATAATTTGATTTTCTTCCCTGTATCTCAGACTGTGATTAGGAATCCTTTGGCAGGGAGACTCACCTAGGCTGTCTGGGGAGCCTAAGATGATGGGTCTGTATATGAGGTTCAGAGAAGACAGTGAAAGGCCAGCAGTGGGAAGATAGCAGCAGTGTGGAGTGATGAACCTTGAAGAAGGAAGCAGGGGCCATAGGCCAATATGTCTATCTAGTCACTAGAACCTGAAATTCAAGTTTCAATTCTAATGAAAATTTCTCCTGCAAACTTGGATAAAAGAATGAGCCCTGTTGGCTCCTTGACTTTAGCAAATGTTATGTTTCTAACTTCCAGAAATGTAAGAGAATAAATTTATGTTGTATTAAGCCATGAAGCTTATAATAATCTACTGTGACAACAATACATTAAACAAACTATTTTTAATCTCTATGGGCTTCTTTGTTTACAATCTTTAAAATATTTAAAACGTATTTTTCATGTATCTTGGCTCAGAGGTTTCTTTCCCCCTTTTCCTAACGCCCTAATTGCTTTCATGGCCAACATCTTTTCTCAACATCTGCCTCCCGCCTGGTCACCACTGCTGCTCATTGTCTCTGCCAGGCCACATGAGCAGCTTTCCTGATTCCTCTGGCGTGGGCCCATCCTTTGTGTACTCTGCTAAAATGTCACTCAGAACAAAGAATCGCAGCAGCCACATTTAATTGACTAGAGTGAGCTTTGTGAGACGCAGGGAGAGCCTAGACTACTCTAGGCACCAACACTGATCCAAGCAGGGCTGGATTTTCCCCTTGCTTTTTCTTTATGGGTTTGAGACTAAAGTATATTGGGCTACTGGCCAGAATTCCCCACTTAGCACGGCAGATGGGGTTTAACAGTAGCTGTACTTGAGTTTTTGAAATGTCTTCAATCTAGATATTCATAACAGAACTGTGACTATATGATTGGGGTGTAGCTCAGTTGGGAGAGTGATGGCCTAGTTTGCACGAAACCCTGGGTTTGATCCCTGGTATAACATAAGCCAGGTGTGGATGTATAGCTGTGGTTCAGGCCAAAAGAATCAGAAGTTCAAAGTCACCTTAGGTTATACAACAACTTTGAGGCCAGTCTGCACTACAGGAGACCTTATCTCAAAACAAAAAAGGTGGCTATAAAAAAAAAGAAAAAAAAAGAAAAAACATACATTTCTGTGGGACCCCAGACATCCGCTCAGGCAAGACTGCGGAGAGGCAAAGGGGATTGAGACTCCTGATTGATCAGAGCTGGCCTGAGACTGAGACTGGGCAGAGTGAAGGGAGCAGCTTGCAGACTCCCGGGGAACTCCTTCCTTAACAGCGCTGTCTGCTGAGCTCCGCCGATGGTGCTGTCAAGCTCTCCACCAATATTTACAGCAGTCGCCTCACCTCTCGGCAAGCAGCGTCTGTTGTGGCAGAGACTGAGCTCCAGCCTCCAGAAGGTAGTGACTTTTAAGTTCTCAGCTTGGAGCTTCAGGGAGTCGACGGGAAAGCAAATGCTGTTCCTAGGGGGAACCTGCCACCTGCGTAGGGTTGTACCATCTGGGGGATGAGCGCTGCAGGCCTCCAGTCAGAGAAAGGGGGCGGGGCTGCAGGAGGAGGGAGAGAGAAAGTGCCTGAAGAGAAATGAGGGGACATGTTCTCATCTTCCTCTGCGATACAGCTGAGACTGGTGCAGAAAACCTTAACATTTTCCTCCTCTCCCTTTAAGTGTTGATTATTTTACTCTGTGAAATAAACAGACACACAACAGGTTAACAAAGAGCTTAGAGAAACACACAGAGTTATCTGCAAAGTCTGAGTCTCATGGAAAGGGTCACCGCATCTTCTTTAGGGTCCCCTTCCCACTGAGGCTTCACCGAATCACCTCTCTCTACTTTGCGCTATCACGTGTCTGTCCATTAGCATGTTGAGAATCACTATCCACGACTAGCCTGCTGACTGTAGATATAGGCCTCTATCCTAAACACTAGTAACACAGGGCTCCGAAGGTTGCCTTAAAAGGGACAGTCAGCCGCACAGCAACTCTCAAAGGAACCTGCGGTGATCTCTATTGGCAGGTGTTAGGACCCTCCTCCCCCATTCGTCTTCCTGTGGAAAGATCTTTCCAAGATAGACAGGCACGTGCACCTCAGGGGGCACATCATTGCCTCCATCCTCTATTTACTTTACTAGCATAGATGGATATACATTGCTTTCATAGAAGGGCATACTTTCAGAACTATTTCCATCCGCAGTTTCATATGCCGAGGACATACATTTAGAGCAGGGTGTTTTACTTCCTCGCACTTGAGAGGCTTACAGCTTTACCCCAGTGTTTATTTCATCTCTTAAAAACACAGAGGTGGAAGATTTTCAGAAAAATGTTTTGTTGTAAGGACCATATCTTTCTCAGAAGTGAGTTTAAAAGCAAGAGCAAGTGAAGACACAGCAAATTGGACTACAGACAATTCTAAGAGGGGTTTGCAAGTCTTCACTTCCGTAGAATTGCAGACTTCCCAGTGAAGACTCACTCAGAGACTAACCTTCCTGCTACCACTTGAGTTCAAACATGATTTTCAGAGAGATCCTATGCTTTCTTTCAGACCAAAGAGCAAAGCTAGAATGCATGCCCAAGTGTCTGAATCAAATCTTGTATCTTCCTATACTTCACAGCAC